AGCACAGGGTCCGGGCGGGTTGCGGGGGGAGGCGGCCGTCACCACAGGCGGTGCTGGTGCAGGTTGCGGCTCAGCACAGAGCGCACGTCAGCTGTGAACCTGGCAGGGACGGGGAGGCAGCATGAGAGGAGGACCCAGGCATCCGGGCACCTAGATCCTACTCCACCTATCCACCCAGGGAAGACCCAAGCATCCAGGCTCCCACCCCCACCCATGCACCCTGTAGAGCCCCCTAGGAGCTGGAGAGGATCCAGGCATCCAGGTTCCCAGCCCCTAGACCCACCCATCCACCCTCTAGACCCAAAGAGAACCCAGGCATCTGGGCCCCCACACCCCACCCCACCCCCTGGGAAGGGACCCAGGCATCCGGATGCCTTACCTGAGTGCGTCCAGCATGGGCAGCAGGTTGAGCAGGGCTGTGTCGCTAGGGTCGCTGAACCACGACTTGATCGGGATGGCGTTATCTGGGGGGCAGGGACAATGGTAAGAGCTGGGGGTCCAGACACCTGGGTTCTCCCCAGCTTGCAGAGGGGAGGGGAGGTTGGGGGGGAACCTGGATTCTCCCCAGCTCAGGAAGGGGACACCTGGGTTCTCTGCAGCTCAAGGGGAGGGGAGCCCAGACACCTGGGGTGGTGGTGGTTTCAATCAGGTCTGGGCCCAGGTGCCTGGGTTCCTGGATGGGTGGGCAGTGTGTGAAGACAGGGGGGGCAGGGGAGGGGGGGCCTGGACACCTGGGTCCCTACCTGGGTGGCTGCGATAGGCACCAGGCGAGTTGTCCAGGATAACGATGCTGGAGAGGTCGCTGTGAACCACCGACAGGTCCTTGATGTAGCTGCCCAGCTCCAATGTGCAGTGCTGGGGGGCACGAGGGAGAGGGGTGAGACCAGGGCCCCCAAAACCTGCCCCCTCCCCTGGCCCTGCCGCTTCCTCTCTCCTGCCCAAGCAACACCCCCCATTTAGGCTGTTCCTTACTCCAGCCCTTGGCCAAGGGAAGCCACCACACCTTCTGATGCTGGACCCACCCCTTCCATCCCAGGCCCCGCCCACCTGGCGGTAGTACCGCCTCTTGAGGATGCACCGGTTGTTGTCCAGCTTGTCTGCTACAGCTGAGCCATATATCTCCATGCTGGCCGTGAACACCACCAGCTCGTACCATTGGCTCACCTGGGGGGGGCGGCACAAATAAGACCTGGGGCAGGGGTAGGGCACTGCTCCCCCCCCACCCGAAACTGCCCCAGGGAGCAGCACTGGGGGGGTGTGGATAATATAGGGAAGAGGGTTGGGACCTGGATACCCGGGTTCTCTGTTGGGGGAGGAGGGGGCGGATACCTGGGTTCTATTTAGGGTGTAGAAGAGGAATGGTGTTGGGGTGGGGGGGGAGCCTGGATTTTATTCTGGGTCCAAGAGGTGAGTGGGATCAAGGGTCTGGGTTGGCGTAGCAATGGAGCCAGGATATGGGGTGGGGAGCCCAGACGCTTGGGCTCTTCCCTGGCTGGGGGACAGGAGTAGGGTCTGGGGGCCTGGGTACCTGGGTTCTCTGGAAAAGGGAAACAGTCACAGGGGACACCATCCCCCTCCCCCAACACCAGCCTCAAGCCCTGCTCCCTGTGCATAAAGGGACAGAACCTAACTCACCACTTCCAGGAAGAAGTCCACGTGCGGCCTCTTGTGCACGAAGAACCGGACAGGGTGTTTATCTATGACGACCTGGGGGGAGGGGGGGCAGGGACCCTCAGGGGAGGGGGGGGGGGCACTGACCCCTGCAGCCTCCTCCAGCCCATTCTACAGCTCTTTACAGCCACTTGGGAGGTGGGCAGAAATGGGGGCAGGACACCTGAGTTCTCTCCAGCCCCCACTCCCCTCCCATAGCTGGTGAGTCAGAGTGGAAAGCCTAGACACTTGGGTTCCCTGGAGGCGGGCAGGGGCACCTGGGAGCTCGGACATCTGGATTCTCACCACACTCTGGAAGGGGAGTGGAGCCCAGCCACCTGGGTTCTTTACAAGCAAGCCCATCTCCCTCTGCCCTGTCCCCCCAGCAGATTTAACCCTGACTGGCCTGGCTCACCTTGAGGATGAAGTCTGGGGGGGTGCCTGGGCGCACCGTGGGCCTCAGCACCCCATCATGCTGCGAGTGGATCAGTGTCTCATCCAGATCCAGCACCAAGATCTTCCTTTTGACCTGGTCTGGGGGGAGGGGAGGAATCTCAGGTTTGGCCCCTCCCTTCTTCTAAATAGCCTCCCCACCCCCCTGCTTCTACAGCCATGGGTGCCACCCACACCTCCCAGGACCTAGCCCCTCTGTTCTGCCCCTTTAAGAGGGGGGGTACCCCCCAAACCACATCCATGGGCCCAGCCACCCTCAACCTGCTCTGGGAGGAGTGGGGGGTTGAAGAAGCCTGGACGCCTGGGTTCCCTCCAGGTCTAGGAGCGGGGCTGCTGGGACAGAACTGGAAGCCCAGACACCTGGCTTGTCTCCAGCTCTTTGAGATGAACTGTAGGGGGTGGCCGATGGCTCAGACCAGGGGCTCCTGGGATCCCAGATGCCTGGGTTCTCTCCCTAGCTCACAGAACTCACTGTAAAACCAAAAGCAGGGCCCCCCCTTGCCCTGGGGACTCACTGAGCCGGTTGCGGGAGACGGGGGAAAGGGGGAGGACGTCGTAACGCACCGTCTGGTACTGGATCACCTGGGAGAGACGACAGAGCTATCACATCGGTATGGTGGGGGGGAAAACGGGACAGACAGCACAGAACTTACTTCCCCACCCTCCAAGACCAAAAGGGGCAGTTCAGGGATACCCCCATCCCCTTGAGACCCCCATCCTCTTGCCTGCACCACAATATGCCTCCCAAAGAGCTTTCTGCACCCCTAAAACCCTCCTGCCCCAAATTCCACCCCCACACTTGCATTTACACCCCATCTACCCCCTCATGTACCCTCCCAGCCCTCCTGTGACATGGTCTATGCCCCCCGCAATGCATCCAAAGCTCTGTGACCCCCTCATACACACAACTCAAGCCCTCCTATAACATGATCTGTGCCCACCTTTGGTGTTACTGTATCTCTCCTGTCTATAATGCACCCCCATGATTTCCAGCAGCTGGATTTGACGGAGCATGTTGTACACAAAGAAGTATGGTATAAGCTGGCTATAAATTTCAGTCAATGTGGGGGGGTGGACAAACATAACGGCTGGATGTGGGAGGGAAACCCCCCACAGAAATATTTCCAGGGGGTCTTTGAGGCCCTGGAAAAGAAGTTTGCTCCCTTATTTCCCAGTGTACAAGACTCAGCCTCAGAAATACCAGTGAGTTTTCTACATGGGGGCAGAAATTCAAGCCAACTTGGCGCCAAAATCCTGCTTTTATCATCATATCAGGTTGGGGGGCTTATATACTGGAAAATATGGTCTTGGGAGAATTGGCAGGGGGGTGTCTTTAGGGTAGGCTGGTCCCCCCTCCCTGGATCTGCAAGATGGTGCCCGCCCACAGGCACTAGTGGAGGGGAAATGCTGGGCACCCCCCCCACAACCTGGACACCTGGGTTCTCTCTCCCACTTGCTCTTGGTGGGGGGGGGGGGGGGGG